TTTTTTTTTTTCTTTTTTTTTGGAGAGGTTTTTTTTTTTTTTTTGCTATAGGTTGGTGTGCGCTCGCTAGAAAGACAGAGAGAGACAGAGAGACAGAAAGCAAGAAATCACTCCCTGGGGGGTGGGGGGGTGATGGCCCCGCCACAATCCCTTCTCCTCCACTCTCCTCTCGGGATCTTGGGCACTCACGCACACATGCCCGGCATGAGTTTAAGCCACCGGGTCTGGAACTCAAACTGCGGTCAGCTACATGGGAGTCCAGCAACATAGCCATTACGCTAATTGCTGGTCCCTGTTCTGGGACATTTTAAGAATTTTAAGTCGAACGGTTCTGATCCTAACAGAATGATGGGTTAAAGTATCCTCCGATAGTCTGGAAACTATAAAAGTTGGGCAAAATATATTTTTTAAAAACTGCTAGCATTAACGAACAACAAACACTGCACTTGAAGGACGATGAGACCTGAGAGAAGGGAACCATGCCTGGGTAAGTTCTACTCACCTTGGCTTTTTCCCTCAGGGCCTTTGTTGAATAATAGCACAACAAATCAGACACAACAGGCTGAAAGAGCAGGAATTTGAGAGGCAAATTCCTGACAAGAAGGATACTACAAAGAAGTAAGTCCAAAAATCTGCATGCAATTTCCCCTCCAGTCATTAGTTGACTTCCAAAAGGCATGTGTGGGTTGGAACTCTAACAACTCCGGTAGAGAACAGAAGCTGCCAGGCAAATGACCGAGCAGAGATGAGAGGACCAGGGCAGTTACCTGACCTCGAGGAGACAAAGTCTGGCCCAAGGACAAGGTCTGGGTAAGCACCTCACACCTTCAGTTAAGACTCCAGGACGAAGTGAAATAGACCGGCCCTAAAGGCTTAAAACCAAAGGCTAACGGGGTGAAAGACCCGATAGCATTACATCTGCCTGTGAGAAGAAAACATTCTTTTTGAAAAGAGCATCTTTCAGAACTTCTATCATTTTTATCCAGAATGTCCAGCATTCTGAGCCATATTTAAACAGCACTCAAATAACTGAAAACCAAGAAAAACACCAGAAAATAAAAAGAAATCTACAGTGATTCAGAAGATAGAATAGATAGGATTATTAAACTCCTGTTTAATAATTCTAGTAGTTATGTGACTAAGACGATAAGGGAAAACATGAAGAATTGTACCAGAAACATGGAATCTATTTGTAAGAAGTCAGATAAAAAAAATTTAGAACTGAAAAATACATTAAGATTCCAAAAGGAGAATTTTAAAAACAGATTAGAAGAAGCAGAACAGAGCATTAAGGAACTACCAGATAGATCAATAGAAAATATTTGGATTGAAGTACAGAGAAAAAAGGGTAGAAACATAGAAAAATGGAGAAAGGGTACAAAAGACACATGGACAGAGGCAAAAGAGTTAACAGCATGAAAGTCACAACAGGGAGGAAAATTGAATTATAAAGTTGCAAAATTTTTATGTCATTCATCGGGTGGCAAAATACTAATTAAAGATACACCCCGATAAGCTAATTGGAACAAGGATTAGGGAGTAGAAGTACTGATTCAAGGTAATATAACATGTTAAGAAGGCATACTGGAATCTCCAGAGTAATTACCAAAAGAATAATGCAGTATTATAAAATTAAGAAGCTAATAGGGAAGGAAAAATTGATAATAAAAAATACAAGATTACTCATCACTAACCATCAGGGAACGTAAACCAAAATCACAGTAAAATATTACCTCACACCTGTTGAGACAGCTATTATTAAAAAAATATAATAGCAAAAAATATATATATATAGTAGCAAGGTTGTGGAGAAATTAAAGCCCTTGTACACCGAAGGTAGGATTGCAAAATGCTGTAGCCATTATTTAAAAAAAAATTCTGGTAGTTTTATTGAAACTTTTGGGAAAATAGAAAATCTTAGATTGTTATTTATAAAGCTGGTATTTTGGGGACCACCATGTGGGGAGAGTTGCAAAAGAAAGAGGCGACTGGGAAAAACAGAGCTAATGGATGGGAAGAAAGACTGAATTTTCTAAACCACTAAGCCCCTGGATCTGACTATGAATGAAGTTCTAGAATATTCAATTATATAAGCTAATACATTCTCTTCTTGGCTTAGGCCAGTTTGAAGTGGGTTTCTGTCACCTAGAATCCTAGATTCCTGAAAGGTATGCCCAATATGTACTTCATGTTTAAAAATTGCTTTGATGGAACATAAACACCATTATTATCAGATACAAAACAAGTTAATTCACAGATATGAGGACCTGTCATATCTCACCAAACTTTCTTTGCCTGGAATGTTAGCTATATTCACAATTGAGACCATTCCACTGACAAAAAGAGAAAAACACGAGAGGTATTAAACTACTTTAAAATATTATGATATTGAAAAGGATGGAAATTTCCAGTAAATACAAACAGATTTGGTAATACACTGACAATGTAAAAATAGTATTTCTTCCTGGTTAGGAAATTATACTAGTTATTCTCTGGCTCTATCTTCTATTCTTTTTGCATAATTAGGAACACACACAAACATACACACACACACACACACACACACACACACGCACATGCAAGCACACATTTTCTCCCAACTCGAAATCAATGGTCATTGTCATTGGTAAAACCATTGATTTGCCATGTTTGCTTAGAAAGAATAATTTTTGGCAAAGATAAAACATAGATATTCTTGGGCCGGCAGATGGCATGGCGGTAAAGGCAGCTGGATCCTACATGGCCAACTGTGTGGTTCAAGTCCCAGACACGGTGACTTGAAAATCATGTGAGGTGTGTACACATGCATGCCCAAAGTCCCAAGAGGAGAATGAAGGAGAAGGGATTGTGGTGTGGCCATCCTCCCAGGGGTTGATCTTTCACTTTCCCCCTTACTCTTTCCCAAGCACACATCTTATAGAAAAAAAAAAAAAAAAAAAAAGACAAATGTACTTAAAACAAATGCACCCTAAGGAAATCAAATTTTATATACATATACATATGCTGATTTCATGCTTCCAAAATAATTTTTGGCAAACATGGAAGGTTAGTTCCTTTTAGTTTTTGTTAAAAAAGGTCTGAAAATCCAAATGACAACTAGAATCAAAATATTGGATGGTCTCTGAAATACTATTTCTTAAAATAATTACTTTAATATTATCTAAGGCTTTAATACTTCTATAAGAAAACTTTATTATTAGGAAATTATGAAAATAAGTTCATTATATTTGGCCAACTTCCTTTAAATTGTTATGCAAAATGGCTCAAGCTAAAACTAACATAAATTAATGTAATCTTTTTTCAAGACTTAGTGAGATTAATAATGCAACTATATTAATGTGCACCAAAACTACATCAAAGTGGTAAAACTAAGACTATTTACATGAGTTAAGCTAAAGATATTTTCTTTCTTTTTTTATTGCCAGTGAGCATGTGCATTCACTGTAGAGACAACCAGAAAGACTGAAATAAGAAAAAGAGAAAGAGAGAGAGAGAGAGAGCCTCCCCTCCTACCCACCCCGCCCCCCATCAACTCTTACGGCCTTTCCATGTAACTTGCCCTCACTGAGCTTCAGGAGGGACGAGAAGATTCAATGGGTCTTGTAGTGGTCTCTGTGGCACAGTTGGGCTTTGATGTTCCCAAGATGGTCAATGACAGTCATTGACTAGTGGAACCAGAGCAGAGTTAGAGCAAGACAAACATTGAGGTGCCTTTTTGGGCACTGCCAAGGACAACTTGCAGTTGCACCTGAAGCTTCTGACTATGCCATGGAATTGGTAGATGTTTAGGTCACACTGTCAAAGGAGAGAGAGAGAGCCTCCCCTCCTACCCACCCCGCCACAGAACATTATCAAGCTGTAATTCTTTTTCCTCCATTTTTCCATCCTGTTAGGCATGCATGCACTCACACATGCCTAGCACATTTTTCAAGCATCTGGGGCTGATTTGAGTGCAGCTGGCTATGGGGTTTCGGCTCCCTTTGCTTAGTGCTTAACTACTGCACTATGGGGTTGGCCTGAAAAGCAGTATTTTCTTTTGAGAGGCTTTTGCTATAGGGTGCATGCACTCACCATAAAGACAGAGAGAGACAGAGAGACAGAAAGCGAGAAATCACCTCCGAAGGGGCAGGGGGGGTGGGGATGGCCATGCCACAATCCCTTTTCCTCCATTCTCCTCTCAGGATCCTGGGCACACATGCACACGTGCCCGGCATGAGCTTAAGCCACCGGATCCAGGACTCAAACCACAGTCAACCACATGGGAGTCCAGTGACAGCCATCACGCTAACTGCTGGTCCCCAAAAGCAGTATTTTCTACGAAGTGTTTAACAAGCTTTCTGAATATCCATAGATTGAAAATACACTCACCTTCATCAGTAAATAAAATATACTAGTTAAAGGGAACATGTTAAAATCAGAAAACCCTAGTAAAATGCCAACCTGAAACATTTGAGACCATGTAGAAAAGCTCAAAGTAGTAAATGCAACTTAGCATAATCTTACAGATTATAAATGCAGCATTGAAATATTAAAATGAATGTAACAACAGAAACAGAAACAATACCCTTTTTAGTTGCTGTTCTTTTAAGCTTCTCACTGTCCTTGCAGGCTCAGATATGAAGTTTTTATAGTTTTCACATATATTGATCCGAGATTGGGCTACCTGCATTGTTCCCTCAAGAAAAGATTTCCAAACGGGATACATGCTCCTAAATTCAAAGAGGGATAGAAAAGCATTAGGCAGGGAAAAGGAAGAAAAAAACTGGCTAATCTTTTACTCACTGGCTAGCACTGACAAACAGAATACATGTCTTCTTTATCATTGTAAATGGATTTATACTGGTTTATAGGTAATATTTGTTTTTTAAATCTTTAATAAGCAACACGCCACACCACAGCTTGCTGTCATTTATTGCTGGGTAGAAAAACAAGCTCTTTAATACTCCGTATAAACATCTCACAAATTGCTGCTCATAGGTTACAATAAAACAAAGCCAGTTTTGACACTCAGTGACCATACTAAAAGCTAGAGCCACTATACCTTATGTTCTGGAAGATCCTTCAACGAAGTCATGTTAAGGATTTTTTAAAACTACTTTTAGCACAATATGAAGTAGCACAGCAAATACTCTATTCCTCTATAGCTCAGAAATAGGGAGATTTCTTAATAATGGAGAAAAGGGATATGAAGATTACAATTCTAGATGAAACTATCACTATAGAAATTATTATTCAGACTCTAGAACTTTTGCTGCTACAGAGTCATCAATATGAATATCCGGCTTTATTATTTCATTAAGGTATTTTCCCAATTTACAGATGAAGTAACAGGCTCGGAGAGATTCACAAAATCATTCTAACTCACATAAGAATATGGTAATACTGAGATAAAAATAAAGGGTGGATACCTCCAAAGTATATTCTTTTACAACTACATCACATTATTCTAAAATAAACTGATATAGCTGGGAAAAAAATGTATCATGAACAACTGCTTATATGCTTGAGAAATCTATTTTGTCTGACAAAAACAACCTACAGTATTGTGGCTCCACGTCTGTCTCTGCTGTAACAACGCTTAGCCAACATCACGCTTGCCTTGGATTCCAACAAGTCCCATCACTTTTGCTTGATGAATGTGCTCAGCAATCTTTTGATGAAGTCAAAAAATTACTCATCCTTTGCTTTTTCTACCCAATGTCCTTTACAAACCTAATCATTGCTATTATGTTCCTATACTAGTTATAAACATGTGTTATACTCAATGATGAATAGTATTTTGTTTTTAAAACCATGATACAGTGAAATTTTTAAAGACTGTAATATTCATCTCCTGAGATATCTCTTCTGGTGTTCACACAGATTTCTACTATAGAAATGTATGAAACTATCTGCTACATGAAATGCTAACTGTGTAACTAGCATGATAGTGTAAAAATAAGGGGGGGAAAGTACCTGGGCCCTCAACCTAATTAAGATTTTAAAAACTTGGTAAACCGGGCCAGCAGGTAGCACAGAAGTTAAGACACTGGATCCCACATGGCCAGCTGTGTGGTTTGAGTCCTGGACCCAGAGGCCTGAAAATCACACCAGCACATGTGAATGCATGTTCAAAATCTTGACAGGAGACTGGAGAAGAAGGGATTGTGGCATGGCCATTCCCCAGGGGTGATTTCTCACTTTCCCTCTCTCTCTATTTCTCTCTGGCTAGTGCATGCATCCTAGAGCAACACCACCAACGACAAAACTATAAAAAAGAAAAAAAGAAAAAGAAAAAGACAGGGTAAACTGTAGTTTTTAACCAAGGAGTCTTATGGATTAGTTCATGTAACACTAAATGAATCAGTTTAGGTAAAAATATTCACTTACTTAGAATGTATTACCATCCTTTCAGAAAGATTCAGTGTGTTGCAAAAACTGTCAGCATAAAAGAACTGATGGACTTAAGAGCAGCAAAAATCAAGTCTTCCGCTGTCTCATGGTATGACATCTGATGAAACTTTTGACGTATACTTGCCCCAGACCCTCCTAAAGAGGCCACATGATCAGCCCATTGTCTGAGAAGATCGATTCTTTTCGGTGAGAATTCCTCAGTGATCAGTTCTTCGCAGTGAGAGAAAATGTAGTGCTGCGCTATGTAACTACTGGGTCGTTGGGGAAGTCATGACGCATTTTGGCACAGAAAAAGATGTCGTGACTTTTCCGATGACCAAATATTAATTTATACTTAAAACGTATTTTTTAAATTGTAGTGAAAATGAAAAACAACCATTGTGAATTGTGATAGAAAAGAGAGAGGGAGGAGCAAAAGGAGCTAAAAAGGAAGGACCCTGCCTTCGTCCATGTTCTTCCATTAGAGTAGCACCTGTTCCCCTTTCCCCTTTACCTAGTTGAGTGCCATTTACCCTTCAGATCTCAACTATAATAAAATGTAACTTCTGCTCCAAAGGCTTTCATGATCACCACCAAGCAACCTCTAGACTCAATCAAGTTCCTCTCTGTTATCATAGATCCAACACTTTTCCCTCGATTAAAAATATCTTTATATTATTGTGTAGTTAATGTCTGTCCCTGTCACTATAGTGAAAATTCCATAAAGCAGGATGTAATGTCTTACTACTACATTCCTAGATTTAGCAAATATATAATGGCTACACGAATGTGTACTAAATGAGTAGATAAATGTGTAAATTATGAAAACTTTACAATAACAGGATTTTTCATTATAAATAGTTTAAAAAGATACCTTTATAAATTAGCAGATTTATAGCAAGCAAGTATATCCTGAGTAATTCGTATGATGGAAACACAGAATTCAGTTACCAGCTGGAAGACCTGGGTTTAGGTTCTAGTTTAACCAATATAATCATAAGTAGCATATTTCACTATACTTTCATTTTTTCCTTTGGATAATGGAAAATTAAAAAAAAATACCATACCAAGTATCTCATAGGCCATTTTAACAATTATGTACAAAAGATGTAAAAGTTCTAGGCACACAAATCCTTTTAGGCAAATAAATAGTAACAGCAGCAGAATTATAGCAGAAACAGAAGTACTTCTTGTTAATACAATAGCGGGAGTTCCAGTGGTTGTGGTGTTTTTCATGCTAATTGGGGGGAAAAATAATAACTATGGGTCATAATTTTATTTTAATGTTGTATTTCACTATGTGTCACATGAAGTCGTTTTGAAGGATAAAGAAAGACATTCACTTTATCCTACTCCCTTTCCACCATCTCTCACCCCTTCTATAATGGCCATTCTCAGTTCCTTATCCAGACTAGGTTCCACAATCCATCAATACAGCCACTCCCTTATGCCATCATCATTATTCTCACGCCTCTCTCTTCTATCATTTTAACCTATAAGCTCCTACCTTGGGTAAATCCAAAACTCTGTTGACAGTATACCCAAGTCTATGGTAGTTACGTGGCTGCAAAAATAGATCATCATGTTGTCTGGTCTCACTTTAAATTGATGTCAAATAATTTGAAGTAATCTCTTAGTACAATATAGCAATCCTACTATATGCTCTTAATCCATTTATTTTTTCTAATCTTCCTCTTTTCTAACTTTGAACGGGATCACACTTTCAGCTGACAGTGAAGCTAACAGAAGACAATGTTCCATGTTCTCACAACTTCTGCCCATCTCCTTGTCTCTGCCCTCAGACAGTCTGCCATCCCTATTGTTTCAAAGAACTATGCTCTGAAGACCAACCCTTCACATTTACTGCATTATAAAACCTCTCACTGAAAAATACCAATCCAATAATCTATGACATCAATTTCTCTCCTCTACTGGATCATTCTCATGGACAAATAAATATGCTACATCTCCATTTTCATAAAAACAAAGTTCATAGATCCTGCATTTCTCTCCAACTACTACCCCATGTCTGTTTCCTGTTTACAGTAAAACTTGTCTGTTTATAGCAGAACTCCTTGAAAGGACTGTCAAAACTACGTTTTCGCTTCCTCTCCTATTGGTCTTTCTTAATGCCACTCACATCAGACTTTGGGATCCACCATGCTTCTGAAACTGTCTCTCAAAGTCACCAATGATCTCTCTGTGGCTAATCCCAACAGTCAATCCAAGTATTGATTTTATTACTTAACCTATCAGCAGCACTGACCAGTTTATCCTACTTGAAATGCTTTCTTCACTTGGCTTCTGGAACACTGCTATCTTGGTCTACTCCTACCTACGGGGCACTCTGTATTCTCCTTTGCTGGCTCCCCTTCATTTCCCTGCCCTATAAATGCTGGAGTGTCCCAGAGTCAGTGTCTCCGAGTTCTATCCCTAATGACTTTAGAATATGATCAATACTGACTATATCTGAATTTTTTTAAATTCCTGTCTGATACCTTTCCCTAGCTCCCATCTGCCTGTTTAACATAGTCAACTTGCATATTTAGTAGACATCTTAAACCTAAAATGTCCAAAACCAAGTTCTTGATTCTCCTAAAATCTTTTCTGTAAATCTACTTCATCTCATCAACAGCTACTCAAACCTAACTGCTCAAGCCAAAAACCCTAGAATCATCATGGAGTCCTCTTTTCTCATACCCTGTATCTGCTCCAACAAGAAATCTTGTTTACTAGCTTCGAAAAAAAATAACGAAATCAGATTATTGGCTATATCCCCTGGAACCATCAAGTTTTGAACCACCAACATCTTGGGCCTGGATTCCGTCCATGGACCTGACCTCTCTTTTTTGGCCCTTATTGTCCAACCTCTGTGTTCTACACAGAGCAGCAAATGCAGTGCCACTGTCACTGACGCTCTGTACTGTCCTTACTATGCTTATTGTACTGCCCTCATCGCCGACTGTCTGAATACTTTATGGTATGTCTCTCCTCCCTAGAATGCAGGCTCCATGCAGCACAGCTCTGCTTTACTCAGATTGTACCCCCGGTCCTACAAGAGTGTAGAGCTTAGTGGGCACTGAATACAGACATGGCAGAGAAGGAGAGAGGGAAATGATAGAGCCTGCTTTCGAACTCAAACTCGGATTTGTCTGGCTCCCAAACCTCTGCTATTTTGGACCCAATAACAATGTTAAAAAAAAAAAAAAAAGGCAAGCAAGCAAGCAACCAAAAAAGTTAAAAAAAAAAAAAAAAGACGTCTTTATTATGGATTGTGCATCCTAAGTCCTTTGTATATATTTAGCATAATCTTTGTTTCAAACATTCTATATACCATTATTTTCTTATCCTTTTTATTTAACTTACATTTTAATCTAAGAGATATGTACCTTACAGTTTTATATTAGTAGTCTAACTGAAAAATAACACTTGCCATAATTATAAGTAGTAAATACAAAAAACATTCATCCACATACCACCTAAGATGCTGTGCACTACTTCTTGAATGAGTATCACACTGCAACAGAGAAAACCTACCCAGAAAGAACCTTTAATTAAGAAACAAGTCAATATATTCATCTTGACTGTGGTAATGGCCTGTACGTGTGGTAAAACTGCATAGAGCATAATATGCATACACACATACACACACCACACACGACACACACAAAGAGCATATAAAGCTGATGGATTTTTTTTCTTTTAGAGAGAGATTTTTGCTATAGGGTGTGTGCATTTGCCAGAGAAACAGAGAGAGACAAAAATAAATCATCTCCCAAGGGGGATGACCATGCCGCAATATCTTTTCTTCCATTCTCTTCTTGAGATTTTGGGCATGCATGCACAAACATACACACATAAATGCCTGGCATGAGTTTTAAGCTGTGGGGTCTGGGACTCAAACCGTGGTCAACTACATAGGAGTCCAGTGATGTAACCATTATACCATCTGCTGGTCCCTGATGAATTCTTTTAAAAAAAATATTTTATTCATCAATTTATTTTTTTTAATTTGATGAGAGGGAGGGAGAGAGAGAGAGAGAGAGCAAGCAAGCGGGGCCAGGTCCGGGACTTAAACTGTGGTTGGCCATGTAGGAGTCCAGCACCCCAACCATGCTACCTGCCAGCCCCAAAGCTGATAAACTCAACTACATTGGCAGACTGTAACAGTAGCAATTTCCACTATAGTTAATGCAAAATGTTACCACTGGAGGAACTGGGTGAAGAATACAAGAGCACTCTTGTGCCATTTCTTACAACCACATGTGAAGATACAATTATCCAAAATACAAAGTTAGGCCCAGTCTCTGTGGTGCAGTCAGCAACATACCACACTGAACTGCTCACTGTTACTTAATGTGCATATTTTCTCATGCTCTGTGCCTTTAATGTGTTACTTGTGCTTAGAATTCCTTTTACTTAAATGTCCACGTGGCAGAATCTTCAAGACTCATTTCCACAGACCTTGGTTTTCCTTTATGGTCCTAATACACTGCTGCTAGAACACAAGATTGCACCTGCTTATAGTGGCTATCTCATATAAGCGCCTAATGGAAACACTGTACCTTCTAGTCCTTCCAATCCTGAAGTCTACTTTAAAATTTGGTAAATAGTAGATATTTCATATGTATCTTATGAATAAAGAATGAATGAATAAGTGTTTAAATAGTTGTGTGACTTTTAGTAAGGCATGTAATCCAAAACATAGTTTCCTATAGAAAAAGAAAATACTTACAGCTACCTCACAGGGTTGTTTTGATCATCATGGGACATGAGTGAAAGTTCCTAGCAGAGTGGAACTGTGCATACAGTAAATTTTTAGTAAATATTGACTTAAAGTACTTTTTAAAATTAAGTTTTCCAACCCAGCAGATGACATGGAGGCTAAGACGCTGAATCCCACATAGCTCACTCCATGGTTCAAATTTCAGACCCAGCAGCTTAAAAATCACACCAAGCAAGTGTGTACGCATGCCCAAAACTCTGAGAGGAGAATGTATTGCAGAATGGCCATCATCCCTAGGGGGTAATTCCCACTGTCTCTCTCTCCTCAGCAAGCACATGTGCCCTACAGAAAAAAAAAAAAAAGTTTTATAAGGTACCCTGGAAGCATAATCTACTGATCCTTATTTCTTTGGTAACCTAAATCCTAAATTTTAAACAAACTTGGTCTGTAGCAATCTGTAAGTTGCTTCTTTATCACCCAATAAGCAATGCTGATTTCCTCATTCTAGCAATATAACAATGTCTAATGTCACTCTCTCACTTCAAAGTTTTGTCTTACTTGCGTCTTTTACCTAGAATTTTATCTCCTCTTTTTCCCCTTAGCTGAACTGTGTAGATACTCAAAAGTCCACAAGAACACCTGTAATGTTATTTCTGTTTTAATGCTCTATATTGCAATCACACTGTTCTACTTATAGTTATCATGCCACCTTCCAACTAACTTGAGTGCCATGGTGAAGAACTACTAGCCCAATGCCATATTCTTAAGAAAGTCTCTGATCATGTCAATCCTCACAGACAATTAAGCAACTTGATTTCATATTCAAACTCCAAACCATATACTTCAATTTTGAGTTCTTTATTACCCTGGATTCTCTGCAATTATTTTATGGGTATTAGTCTCAATGCCAACCAGGTTGTAAGCTCTGAGGTCTTTGACTTCTGGGTTCCTCAACCCAGAGGAGAGCCCTGAGCACAAAAGGCAATAAACACCTACAAATTAACCTCAAAAAAGACATCAAACTCCAAACAAAATTATAAACACTTTTAAGATGTTGGTAGGTCATCAAAGACACAATCTGTACTCTACTTTCATCTATGATCTTTTTTTTTTTTTGAGAGATTTTCACTGTAGGGCGCGTGCGCTCGCCAGACAGACAGAGACATAGAGACAAAAAGCGAGAAATCACCCCCCAGGGGGGATGGTCACGCCGCAATCCCTTCTCCTCCATTCTCCTCTCGGGATCTTGGGCACGCACGCACACGCGCCCGTCATCTATGATCTTTAAAATTCATACATGGGATATTAACTAGCCAATGTCTGGATACTTCGTTTACACACACACACACACACACACACACACACTTCTAATATTATGCTATAAAGTAAGCTCACTCCTTAACATACTTAGAAACTCATAATCTCATAAAACTCATCTTTCCCATTTAGAATTTATTTTAGAAGTAAAGAATCAATAATTATGGTACAATATTTTAATTTTGTTTCATTATTGTCACAATAATGTGTTTCATCATAGGTCACTGAGAAAATGTGTGCTCACTGTTATCTTCTGTCTTTAAAAGTGAGATGTGGGCATTAACTAATTAAATAAAATGTAATCTTGGCTTAATGCAAAAGAAAAGGGCCTGTTTTATACAGATTATTACAAATATTATAGAACACTAAAATTCTTGACAAGTTTGAAATTAGGTCTAAAAACAGCAGAGGAAAGAAGCAATTCTTTTAAAAACTGTAGTTGTTACATTAGTGACATGCAACATAGCTTTGATGAAATCTTTTTTAAGAAAATGGGCAGAAACAACTTAATTAGTTACCTGTAATCAGTCCGGTCATCAGCTTTTATTCCAGGCCAATCTCTCTTCAGGTATTGACTAGCCAACTTTTGAATACCCTGTTTAAAAAAAAAACAAAAAACACCATATTTTTTTCCTAAAATAGGTATCATGCCACAAAGGAAGCTCTTTTCTGTAAAATAAAGTAGAAATTATCATTTTCCCAAATATAAATTTAATTCAGAAATAAAGAACCAATGATAAATGGTAGAACACTACAACAGCGTTTCGTCCAGACCTCTCTTGTCTCCATTTTTTAGAACAAGAGCGGGTAGAAAGATAAGAGAAATGAAACTTAATTGATATGCCTTTTGCTTCGCCAAACTATTCCCCTGGCCACAAAATGAACTACCTCTTGTAAGTCACAGGGAGCACAGCTGCCCGTCTCCACAGAGCTCCGATTACACAGCTTGACGTCTCTGGTCCCCACTACGCTCAGCTGTGACATGTACTGCATTTCTAAATCCCAGAGCCAAACTCGTGTATCAGGAGAGGGAACACATTCAGTGTGGAATAGACAGACACATACCGGCTTGTACAATTAATGAACAAATGTCAGTGCTGCTCCATATAAGTAATTCCCAAGACAGACTTTAAAGGACTTTTTAAGGAAAAAAAATTAAAAACACCATGACACAAGTCATTTCAAATGAAAAATAAGTTACTTTGACAAAGAAATACCCCCATTTACTATTACTGACACAACATGAATCTGGACAAAACAGAATATTTATCTGTAACAGATAGAGGGATATGTGATTTAAACAGAAATACTGCTTTGTTGGGAAGTGAGAATAAATTATGCATTATAATTATATAACTTTTAGGTAGGAACGCATGTGTTCCCCTGACACTACAATGGGGCCTAATTAAACGAATATAGAAATAATCAGCTTTGGGTGCTCATTTCTGTATATGCAACTATGAAAAAAACACAATGACAAAATGGAGAGCAATCACTAAATTTAACAGATTGCCTGTTTTAAAAACAAAGGCTGTTAAGTAAAATCAACGCTTCGCTCCACATGGTACCGTTCTGCTAAGGTCTACTCCCAAATCAATTGGGCTTAATTAAATCCACCACTGAATGGCTCTGTTTACCGTTATTTCAATGAATCCAAAGGCTACCAGAAACTGTACGGAAGGACCTTTGAATCTCGAGTTTCTCCTGAACTTGGCAATAGGTTGGTTTCATTATTTCTAGGTACTGTGTATTCTGAGAACTCACATACAACGTATCTACAGTACTTCCACTTAACTCATCTTATACTTTGGGGAACCCAACTTGTGTCTTCTTCCCTGAATACGTATAGTGCTCTTTCACATCTGATTCTTGTTCATACTGTTGCTACTGCATGAAATATCTTCCTATCACTCCGATTCCTGCTTGCTGAATTCTTTTTTCTTTTTTTGGAGAGGTTTTTTTTGCTATAGGGCACATGCGCCTGCCAGACAGACAGAGACAGAGAGACAGAAAGTGAGAGATCACCCCCCGGGGCGGGGGGGATGGCCACACCGCAATCCCTTCTCCTCCATTCTCCTCTCGGGATCTTGGGCACATACACACACGCACCCGGTGCGAGTTTAAGCCCCTGGGTCCGGGACTCAAACCACATTCGACTACATGGGAGTCCAGTGACATAGCCATTATGCTAACTGCTGGTCCCATTGCTGAATTCTTAAAACTGCCTCCCCTACAAATGGAATATAAGGTTTCTTAATACAAAACATTCAAAAGGCTATACAGAAAAATATGAAAGCTTTCGTTGCTTAAGTACTTAATTTCATTTCATTAACATGCAATAGTTTATCATCCTTTCGGCATTTATTAGCTCTATGTCTATAAAGAACTATGCTTCCTGAACTATGTGGTTATCTTGATCGTAGTAGGAAAGACAGGATAAATACTTGATGGTTCAGTTTTGGTCCAAAGATAAACAATGAATGTTTAAAGCGACACTATGAACTCATGTACTTTTAAATAATGGATGTGCTCCAGCTCATTGTGGTCACTATTTTGAAGCTCCAGTTGTCATATATGTGATCTGTAGGAGACACTCCAAGTTGGTTCCTATATCTTGACCCCAACAGACTTTGATCACATCTTCATCTTCTTTTATCGTTTCAGTCCCAGATTACAATAAGCTAGTTCTTTAGGAATCCTGATTCCTTTCAGAGAGATCATATTTAGAGATTACTGTTTAGGCATATCCTCATCCTTCAGAGTTTTCTTTTTGTCCCTCCTTAAAAGCTCTTTTTTTTGTTTGTTTACTTTTTTTTAATTCCAGAGGGTGTGTACACTCACCAGAGAGAGAGAGAGAGAGAGAGAGAGAGAGAGAGAAAGAAAGCATCCCCAAATGGGGTGTGGTCATGCAATAATCCTTTCTCATCTATTCTGTCAAGATTTAAAGCACACATGCACATATGTCTGACATGTTTTTCAAGCCACCAGGGCTGGGAGTGGAACTATAGTTAGCAATGTGGTATCTGGTTCCCTTAAGCACTTGGCTAAGAGGACTTCTGAAAGACCTTCTCTAATCACTGTATACAAAGTAGCTTACCCTCTACACAGTTATTCTCTCTTATATAACCTTACTTTTTCATAATCCTCACATTGTATATTGCTACTACCTGGTTTAAGTATTTTTTGGTCTTTTTCTGACTGTAAGTCCCAAGGCTGTAGCTGAAAGCCCGTATTTTAGCTGATACCAATAATACGCTCTGACGGCCTGAGTAAATGCCACCTTCATTATACTGTCCCTAATGTGTAATACTCTTCTCCTTGTGTGTTTGCCATTCTGACTTAGATATGTTTGGATCAAAACTTCTCTAGTATCTAATTTTCATATGCTCTGAATAAAAAGATTTTGGCCAGGTGCTTTAACATAATAAATAAATTGCTTAGTAAAATTATAGTCAAATTTGATCATCCTCACTATGGCAAGAGAATACCTGTGTGGATAATCCAAAGCAATTTTTAAACCCTAACAGAAGTTTATTCTGTATCTAAAAAGCACTACACAAAAGCTTTTGTGAAGGTTCAAGGAAGCACAGATTCCTGAATTCAAAGAACTCATTATCTGTGAGAGGAACAGAAGTACGCAACACGTAAGGCCAGACGACACAGTTTACACACACAGGTGGCAGAATGTCACACAAGTACTCAAATGAGAAAAACGTCATTTGGCATTTTCTTAACAAATCACATATAAATGATATGATAATGAACATTTAAGTTTAATTGCTGCAAAAGTTCCTGCAGAACACGTCACACAGAACAGGGATATGAAACAAGCCTCAGTTCATAAATCGGACTAAGAAAGCAGAATGAGGACCAGCTAGTGACGCAGTGGTTAGGGCGGCTGGACCCCGACATGGCTGACTGCAGTTTGAGTACCAGACCCCACAGCTTCAGAAACATACCAGGCACATATGCATGTGTGCCTCAAATCCGGAGATAAGAACAAGGAGAAGAGTTCGCAGTATGGCCATTATCCCTGGAGGGTGATTGCTCACTTTCCCTATCTTTCTCTCACTCTTCCTCACTCTCCGGTGAGCACATAAGCTCTATGGCAAAAACTTTTAATAAAAGGAGGAAAAATAAGGGGGGGGGGGGCAGAATGACAGGGCTCTAAACTTAGGGCCGGCAGGTGGTGTGGTGGTAAAGGTGCTGAACTCTCACAGGGCAAACTACGGTTTGAGTCCTGGACCTGGAGGCCTGCTTTCTCTTTCTCTCTCAACAAATTGAATAATAATAATAATAATAAATAAAATTATTCTTTAAAAAAAAAAACAAATGAACAAGTACTTCCGGACACTCATTTCTCTTGACTGTGTGTTAGGACTTGTACTCGGTTTCTCTGGACATTCAGAGGATATAGAAATGATTTAAGATCATATTTTTCACAAATAAGTCCAAGCTATAATTCCAAGTCACCATCTTTGCAAAAGGTATCATTTTAAAGTGGATTTTCATCTAATTATTTTTTAAAAAAACCTTGTAAATGTTACTTTAACTTTTTGTGCATTATACACTACAATACCAATTTCTAGAGCTCTAAACCACAAAGCTGAACTGTATTAAACTGAATGAGCCCTTCAGAGATGAAATGAGGGATTCATGAAATAGACAAACAGTGAGATCTTTAGATAAAAGACTTTATTCAAGTTAGTTCACAGAGGCAGAAATGATGACTTCTGAGTACTTCGTGCAGCTGTTCAAGATCTAATCTGCATGGATGCTCAGAAATACTCTGTGGCCATTATATGAAAGGTCCTAAGTACTATTCCGCAACTCTACTTCAGTTAACTAGGTATTTTCCTTTTATGTTATGCTTAAAGCTATATCTGATTTTTTTAAAAAGGGGGGGAGGTTACTTATATTTTAAAAATCCATTCCAATTAATTTGCAAAGGAAAATAAACCTATGGTTTATAATTTCCTGTCTTTCTTGTTTCCAAATCAGTTCTCCAGTCCATAGGATTACCTTCTAAAACTAACTCACTAGATATATAATATTTATTTACATTTACCTGAGCATCACTCATACATAATGTTGATTTGATATGCAATACAGTTTAGTCGGGAGCAGAGCCTTTCAAAACGATGTACTATCAATATACTATTTGGAACATCCAATAACATTTCATTCTAACGTTTAAAAAAGCCATCAGTGTCTAGTATAAGACTTGCTTTGTTTTATCTCTCAATTACACTTGCTGTGTGCCTCTGATGAGTAAAACACACACACACACACACACACACATACACAAAGAGTGCCACTGTTGAGTAGACACTGGGAAATGGACTGATGGCTTAACCCTTGGTCCATTCACCACAGTAGGCTGAGCAGGGTGCTCCCTGGCCCTGTCAGGTTATTCTGCTTCCATTTCTTTCTCCAGCACATGAGAAACTAATATTTATATTTTACTAAAGTCTTGCTGTCAAATGTCTCTTTGAAATCTTAGGAAACCATATTTTTTTATATGCTATGCCACTTTGTCATGAAATTCCCAATGTTATGTAAATTATCTTTTTTTTTTTTTTGAGAGGTTTTTGC